AGTATTAGTCTGCTCAAGAGCCTTTTTCTGATACCGCTCTTCATCTTATGACAAGCTGAAAGTATTATGTCCCCGTTTGGCCCCCATTAAATTCTATTTCATTTTTCTCTCTCCTATTTTCAATTACACAATTTTCCATAAAATAATATTACACGTAAATCAAAAACTTTTTCTTCTTTTTCAACCACTCATTTTTCAAAAAAATACTATTCCACCCATTTTATTTTAAAAAAATGGGGGTCAAACGGGGGCTATACTTTAAATTTTATTTCATTATTATTTTTATGATTAATATGTTTTCACACACTATGCCCTTGGTGGGGATTAAAATCAGAATTTTAGTAGATTTTGATAAAATTGATGAAATGTATGGTTGAGAAGTTATGGGTCCCATAAAATATATGATTAAAATTAATTGTTGATTTTGACTTAAATTAAAATCTAGATTTTAATTGATACCAAACATGGGCTATATTTGGTTGACGCTTGGCAGCCTCTATTTCTCTTTTGTTACTCTTACCACCTAGGTAGGATGTTGATGATGAATTTATTGTTGCATCCTGGTTGAGTAACAATGAGATAGTGTGATGAGTCTTGTGACTAGGTTGCCAACTATTATTTGTGTTTGCTTTTTACGGATTAATTGCTGTCTATCATCTTCTCCAAAGTATTTTAATATGCCAGTCTACGAAAATCTGGCTATTAACATATTTCATGTAAAGACATGCTTAACTGTTTAAATTATATTTTAAAAGCCTAAGACCTTTTTTAAAGATCTTACAGTCTTCTTTGCCTGTAAATATTTTCTGACAATTCTCTTTGCTGCAGTGGGCTCTTATGACACTTCTTGATCCAATTCGTAGTGTGGAGAACCTTATATATATTGGATATGGTGGTGATTCCTCATCTGCTATCCGTGTAACTCGAAGAAGACGTCTAGATCGTAAGAAGCAGCAAACGGACAGAACTGTGTACCAGTGTTTTGTTTTTGGACCAAAGGAGGCTGGGAAATCTGCATTACTGAATTCTTTCATTGGAAGGTATTCTTTACTCTGAGTGACATTAAGCTTTCTGACTAAATCTGTGAGTGGCTAACAATTTTTCCGATGTTAGTCGATACTCATGGCATGATATTCATCCATTATACAGGCCTTTCGTAGAAGAATATGTTCCCGATACAGATGAACACTATGCAGTTAATGCAGTGGATCAACCTGGGGTAAGGGTCATCTTTGACTGTGTTTGGTCCAAATTGAACAAATTCTATCAGCTAAACCATCTCCACTGGTTTTGGTTACGTTTTCAAACTTATGCGGGAATGTGGAAGTAAGGTCCATACGGTTGACCTGCCTTGCTAAAAGAACTTGTTGATTCACAAGCAGGGGACTTAACATAATACAAAAGATATAACTTTGATAACCTTGAATAAACTCGAGCACCTATGAATCAATAACATGCCATCAGAGCTGGAATGTTGTCAGGTGGCGTTGTACTTTCTTTGTTTTGTTTTTCAACCCCCGTTTGGCCCCCTTTCTCTTTCTACTTTTTCTTCTCACTTTTACTTTCAACCGCACAATCTT